GCCTGTATCCCAGTATCCATTGAGCTTCCTCCCATCCACTGCCAGGGGAACAAGGCACTCTCTCTGGAGGGACAACCCCGCGCCGCTCCCCCCCCTCCCGTAAACCGAGCACCCTGAGTCCGGAGCATCCAGCCCCCAAGAGGAGCTGGTCTGGGAAACTCCTCCCTCTTGAGCAGGTGGTAAGCTGTCAGCCCCCCTTGCTGGGGAAGCCTGCCCCTCCTCCAGCTGGGTCCCTGCCCAGTTAACTCTGTGTGGGTTTGGTCTGCTCAGTCTGTCCTTGAGCTTGGGGCACTGGGTCTGTATGTGGCCTCTCTGGCCACAGTAATAGCAGCTCATGTCTCGTTGGTCCCCTCAAGCCGGTCGGTTGGTCCTGACGCCGGATGTTCCCCTTGGGAGGGAGTTTTCCATATTCCCCATTGGGAGGTCCCAGGATGACTCTCTCTTGGCATCGTGGCAGTGGTGGGCCTGTTCCTTTGGGACTCCTCCCTGCCACCCCCTGACCAGCTCTTCACAAACTCGTCGGCAAGCTGCCCTGCGCATTGCGGGTTCTCTGGCTTTTGTCCACCAACCATAGCCTCAGGTCGGATGGGCACTATTCATACAGTTGCTCCAGTACGATCAGGTTAAGCAGGTCCCTCTTCGTCTGGGCCTCATCTGACCACTTGTGGGCATATCCCTGCATTCGGAGGATCGGTTCTAGATATGTGACCTCAGGGGTTTTATGTTGACTCTGGAACCTTTCCCAGTACATCTTGGGAGTCAGCCCAAACTCGTGGAGCAGGGCCTTTTTGAATAGTTCGTGGGCCACTGCCTCCGCCCCTTCCATTCGTCTGTACATCGCCACGGCTTTGGGGTCCAGTAAGGGGGTGAGAAACCGGAGCCTGTCTGCCGGGTCAACCCTGTGCAGATCGCAGACCTTCTCAAAGGCATTCAGGAAGTCATCTATGTCCTCCCCTTCCTCACGCTGGGCCAGGAAGCACTTATCAAATCTCCACGCAGTCCTGGGTCCCCCCTCACTCACCGCAGCCGGGGCCCCGCTGCTCCTCAGCCTGGCCAGCTCCAGCTCATGCTGACCCTGTTCCTCGCCATCCTCCCGCACCTTCTCCTGATCTTCCCACTCTTTCAGTTATAGCTCTCTCTCCCATTCCAGCCGCCTCAGCTCCAGGGGTGGTTGCAGGGGTCACAGTGTCCTCCATATTCACGGGGTTCCTCCCAGCCCCTCCCCTAGGCATAGGATGCCCTCTGCAGCCTTCTGACTGCTCCCAGCTGGGACAGATCCTGGTGCCCGCGCTGCATCTGCCGGGCTGCTTCCCTCAGAGGCAGGGATCGGTTCATCCGAGCGATCCTCCTCCTCCAGCTGGGCAATCAGCTGTTCTTTGGTGAGCCACCCAATGCGCGGCCCCCTCTGCCTGCACAGCTCCACCAGGTCACTCTTAAGGCACTTATTATACATCTTCCATCTGGTCACTCACAGGCCTGTCTGCTCGCAGCTCCCCACGGTCTCCAGGGAGAACCCCTAGTGTGCCAGCCCTTCTCCAGGTCACCACCTCTCTCCCAGGATCTAGCCGCAGACTCCTCCACCCCTGGGACCACTTGCTGCAGTCCCGAGGGGGACCCCGTTACTGCGACAGTCCTTCTTGCTGGTCTCATACTCCCAGGGGTTAAGCACAGCTCCTCTGCCCCCCAAAACTGCTCCTCTCTGAATCTTCAGCACCCCTGGTTCCTGTCAATCCCCCTTCGTTTTACTGCTCCCCAGTCACTTACTGCAGGAAGTGCCGCCCACAGGGTGCAGTAGATCCCACCACTGCGACCAGTTGTCATGGAGTGTGGGGGAGTCAGGGCCCTGCACCCCCCTCTTCCTGCTATTCCCTGTGACTCTCAGCCAGCCAGTAAAATGGGTTTATTAGCCGACAGGAACACAGTCCCAAACAGAGCTTGTAGGTACAACCAGGACCCCTCAGTCAGGTCCCTCTGGGGGGCAGGGAGCTTAGACCCTAGCCCTGGGGCTCCGTCCATTTCCCCAGACTGCTCCAAACTGAAACCCCTTCCAGCCGTCTCCCCCCGGGTCCTCCTCCAGCCTTTGTCCAGTTTCCCAGGCAAAGGTGTCACCTGGCCCCAGCCCCTCCTGGGCTCAGATTACGGGCTCATGTATCATCCCTCATGTCACCCCCTGCTCTCCCATCCCCAGTGCTGACAGTCCCAGTAGAACGCCCTGCGACACCCCCAGGTCAATCCGCCCCGCTCCCTGCTGCCTCACAATCTCGGGTACTCATCCATAATTCTCCCATGCATCACATCACGCCCAGCATGGATATTGACCGGTTTCCAGCCCAACCCAGGTCCTTGTCCCATCCCGCCTTCCCCTGTCTTTCCCCTGACCCGGGATAGAGCCACTGGTCCAGTCTGCACAGAGCTGGTGCTCTATGAAAACCACGGACACAAAACCAATCTGCGAATTTGTGGCAGTGTCTCCAGATACCTTTTGTCAACCTCCCACCTCAAAAACAATCCAAGGGAAATCGTGGCATTTTCTCCCACCGGGTCCCAGCATTTTGGCGTTTCGGTTTTGAACGACTTTTTCTCTCCCTGTCCCCTTAGTTCCATTCCAATCACCAATGAACAGGCCCGATTGGATGCAAATGGTCACAACTGATGCCAGACCTTTCAATTGTGTCCAAAAACTGCACCGTCTTGTGCCACCCGAACTCAACTTCTTTTGACTTTTCGACTCATCGAAAGGTTTGAAACAATTCATTTTCACGTCCACCCAAAATGAAGATTTTCTTCAATTTTTCCAAATTGCCACCTGGATGATGTGTTTTCCACCCGTCTTTCCCTTCGTGCCCCAAATCCTGCCCCTTCCCTTCACCCTGAGAGTTTCCACTTCCATCATCTCTATTTTTTCCATAATTTTCCCTTCTTTGAACCTCTCCCCATCTCTTTTCTCCTCCTCCCCAAAGACAGGTCCTTCTTCCCCTCCTTGGCAAAAGATCCAATTGTTTCGGGTGGGAATTCCAGCGAAGAGGAGAACAAGAAAGGCAGGGCAAGAGAATGAGCATCATGATCTGTCTGTTTCTGGGGCACCTGGCACCGGCCGCTGCCAGTAGACAGGACACTGGGCTAGATGGACCTTTGCTCTGACCCAGTATCTTATGTTCTTCTCACATTGGGGTCGTTTCGTGGTTAATAACCCCAGGCCCCATAAAGGTGAATCCTTTCTGCCCAGCCATGGCACCAGTTGGGCTTCAAGATATTTCACCTGGGGTGTAAAATTGATTGAGCTCTCAGGAGATTCTTGGGTACCACAATTCCCATCAACGGTGGGGTATCCGGGTCAACCAATGGTACATATCGAAACAGCTATTACCGTGAGACCTGAGCACCTCACAACCTTTCCCACATTTACGCTCGCAATACCCCTATCAGGTAGTGAACTGTGATTATTAGCAAGAAGGGAAACTGAGACACGGAGCGGTTAAGTGAGTTGACCACGGTCATACAGGGAGTCTGGGGTGGATAAGGGGTTTGAACCCAAGTTTCCTGAGTGCCAGCCTGGTGCTAGATCTGGTGGAAAAATTACCTGATAGAGCAATAATCTTAAATAATCTAGTACTTAGTGTATGTATACATACAGAAATAGATTAAACCTTTTAATATTCTATGCTATAGTCAATCATACAGAGCAATGGATGGGAATTGGATTTTCCGTTTATGGGAAATTGCTTCATTAAAAAACAAATGTGAAAAAACGGCAGGAAAACCACAATGTTCACAATTTCCCACTGAACGAAATTGTGAAAAAAAATCACTTTGGGTGGATTGAAATGTTGGGGGCTTTTCCCCGATAAAATCAAAATACCCTGCTTGGCGGGCGAGCTTTTTTGAGCGGGTTTAAAGGCACCCCATGGATTTTGTTTTGGAACGTTTTCCCGCCGTCTCAAAACCGCGTCGTGGTTTCTTCCCTCCATGAAGTGTTATCGAAACGGACAGGTCGGTCGAAATCTTTTCATTTCAACAAACGCGGCATTTTTGGCCAACCACCGGTTCGGGGGGGGGGGGGGAATTCACCACCCTGCTCCATCCATCACCTGTCATACTGTATAATCCGATATCGGCTATTTATTTCTGGGCCTGAATCGGAAAGTCCGGTTGAACGGAATCACCCCGGTCGACAGGGGATGGTTTTTCACTTATCAAAGCAGAACAAATGGCGAGAGGCACCAGCGGGGGCCGAGGTGGCTTGGTCCAGGCTGTGTTGTGGGGGTGAGTCCTAAGGGGTAGAGCACTGGACTAGAGGCCAGGACTCCTGGGTTCAATTCCGAGCTACCATTGGGTGACCTTGCGCCGTACCTTAGTTTCCCCATCTGTGAAGTGGGAGAGGATGACCCGGCCCCCTTGGGAAAGTGCTTTGAGATCTGCACATCCAGGTTCTTCAGCTCTTTGGTGTTGGTGGGGAGGGAAATGTGGGGTGGATGGGGGAACCTCTCCCCCACACTGTACTCCTCCTGTCTCTTTCGTCTTCTCTTGCCCTCGGGTTAGAAAATGCCAGGTGAGCGCTTTGGGGAAGGGGTTGAGATGATGGGTGGGAGGAAGGGAGGGGGTGGGGCGGTAGGCTGGGATGAAGCGGGATGAGGGGGCCAGTGGTGGGAGGGTGAAGTTGTAGGGCAGGAGGGACGGGAGGGGCAGGGGGAGCTTGGGGCCCGTATGGGGGGTGCATGATGGGGAATTGGGGGGACCTCCCACCCCGGTATTCCCAAGACTATTTCCTGACTGCCCGGGGTGGATGAGGCTAGATTTTGGGGGGGAGAGAGGAAAATAGAGCCAGGGCTCATTTTGGTGGGTCATACCAAAATGGCACCCAACTGGTTCCTCGCCATATGCCAATCCCCACAGGCCCACCTCCTTGTTCACCCCACCTCATTTTTGCCTCATAACCCATGACCCCCAACTCCACTGGCCCCACCCACCTCCTTAACCCCACCCCTTCCTCCATTGACCCCTCCCACCTCCTTAGCCCCACCTCTTCTCTGCAGGGGAGGAGGCGGAGTCTGGAGAAGGATGTGGAGTCTTCTTGTGCTCCCCCTCCTCCCATGAGAGGCGGGTCAAAGAGAAAGGGGCGGGGTCAATTTTAGTCACAAAAAAAAAGCAGAACTAAGGGGGGGAGGGGGAACCAGGGAACTGGGAGGGACTAATGGAGAAAGGGGTGGGGCTAATGGAGGAAGAGGTGGGGGCAATGGGGATCGGTGGAGGAAGGGGTTGGGCGAAAGGAGTAGCTCCTAGGAAGCGGGAGGGGCCAATAAGGGGAGGAGTTCAATTAAGGAAGAAGGGGAGGGGCTAAGGAGGAAGAGGTAGGGCCCGATGGGGAAAAGGGTGGGACCAGGGTGAAGAGAGGGGTTGGGGGAGCTCATGGGGAAAGGGGTGGGAAGAACAGGCCGAGGGAGGTGAGAAGGACCAATGGCAGAAGGGGCGGGTCTAATTGAGGAGGGGTGGGGCTTATGGCAAAAGAGGTGAGGTCAATGGGAGAACAGGGGCATCTCTGCAGGAGTGGGGAGAGCAGGGAAAGGGGCTGAGGTGGAGGGGCAGAGCTAGGAAAGAAGGGGTGGAGTCAGCCCAGAGGGGGCGGAGCCTTGCAGGGGGCGGGGCTCCTTCCACAGGAGGCGGAGCCAGGGCCGGGAACACACAGGACAAATCCCCTAAAACAATGGGAATTTCCACCATCTCCGTCCACTTTCTCCTTCTGATTCTTCCCCCCACTTTGCCCATCCGCTCCATGACCCGATGCGCCCCCCCGACCGCTCTTTTCTTTCATAGCATTTATTTTCAATTCCTTTTATTTCCTTTTGGGGGGGATCTTTTCCCTTGTCCCCCCTTTTCTTTAAATACACAACAAATGCCGGGTTTTTTGGTGCTCCGGTGGGGAGGGCGGGTTGGAGGCGGGGGGGGCACAAGCCCAAGTTTTATTTCCCCCCCTTCCCCCCCCATGGTTTGTAGTACGTTTGGTTCACAGCGACGAGCGGGCTCACAAAACGGCCCCTTCCCGTCGTAGAAATGACTCGATCCTGGGGTGCAGGGGACACGGGGGGGGGGAAGTTTAAAACTACCCAACCGGGTGACGGAAATGAAATCATTTCGACGGGATGAGGCGGGGAAGGGGGGCAGACCCAGCCCTTTGCCGTCGGACGTTGAGGTGCGGCCTCGGGCTGAGTTCTCTTTTGGGGGGGGCGGAGGCGTCTGTCAGGTCCTCGCTCGGGTGGTTGCGTGGTTGGTGGGTTTTTGGTTGCGGTAGGAGAAGCTTTGGCTTCGCGGGGCGGCAGGTGGGGGGTGAATTCGTTCCCTCGTCCGGCGGCCTGGGTGGATGGGGAGGAAGTTTTTGGGTGGGGGGAACCGGGCACGTGGGGATCTTTTAAAGCCTTTGAAGGATTGGGGGTCGGGGGGGCACGTCCATCGATCCACGCCCTCCTCCCCGCCCCGGGTCGCCCCGGAAACACTGGGGAGCGAGGGCTGAGCCTGCAAAGCCCTCGGCCGAGAGACCGGCGGGGCGATGGGCCCCCGGTCCCCTGTTTGGTTGGGGCTGGAGCCAGTGTCTGTCTGTCCGTCCGTCCGTCCCGACGAGTTCTATACACAATGGGCGGAGCATGCTCGAGGGGAGGAGAAGAGGCGGGATTTCGGGGGGGGACGGATGGGGGGTCCAGGGGTTGCCCCCCCCCCGTTTTTCATTTCCTTGAGTTTGTCTCTCGTGCTGTCCGTTGAGTTGAGTTTTGGTTTTGGCCTGTCTTGATCGGTAACAGTACGGGGCATGTGCTGGGGGGGGCAGCCTGGGGGGCACCTGGGAGTTGGCATGGGGGGAAGGGAGGCTGGGGGGGAAGGGGAAGGGAAAGGCTGGGGGAGGAGAGGGAGGTGGTGGGGTGGGTCATGTGGAAGCCCTGTCTCATGTGTGTGGGGGGGCAGAGTCTGAGACGTCTCTGGGGTGCACAGGGAGCATATGTGGGGCTGAAGGCTGGGGGCATTTGGGGGAGCCTGCGTGGCGGGAACATGCCTGACACGTGTGTGGAGAGGTGGGGGTGTGTGGGGCCAGCTGTGTTGGGAACACGCCTAGCACACGTGGGGCCACCTCGCCAACCAAGAAGGCAGGGTGTGTGCGTTCAATTCACGCCCCCCCCCACGCACCCAGCTGTGCCAACTCCCTACAGCTGGGTTGGGAGTATGGGGGAGGGGCAAGGGGGGCACATTGGGAGCTGGGGAGGCAGACTGGGGGGTATGTGGATATGTTGGAAGCTGGCAGTGGGTGTTCCGGGTGGGGGGTCCCTCAGGACCCGGGGCAGTCCTGGGTTGGGGTTCCCCAGAGTGAGGGGGCTTGGGGCCTGGCATTGGGGGTTCCAGGCTGGGGGTCACCCAGGGCGGGAGGGTTCCGGGAGGCGGGGGGGGGAGGGTCCAGGTGCCCCCCGTCTCCAGCTGCACCCCGCGCGGTTCATAAAGCTAGAAGCGTGGTCGAGGTAGAGTTGCTTTTTGGGCTGGGGTCCGAGTGAGGTAACTTTGCTTCCTCTTTGGCAAAGGCCGGGGTGGGGCCGGGGGCGGGGCCGGGGGCGGGGCCGGCCTTGCGGCGGTGGGCGCTGGAGCGGAGGTGGGCCCCCAGCGCCTCCCGCCCGCTCACCAGCACCTCGCACGCCAGGCAGTGGTAGGTGCAGACGGGCACCCGCAGCGGAGCGGGCGCCGGCTGGCCGTAGTAGCAGAAGCCGGTCTGGTGGGCCGCGGCCGCCGCCTCCCCCTCGAACGCCGCCTTGCACTGGCAGCATAGGTAGTGGTGGGCCACGTCCACCGTGGAGACCCCGGCCGGCTCGGGGGCCTCGGGGGCGGGCAGCAGGCTGCCGGGCAGCAGGCTGATGAGGGTCTGAGGTATGACGGGATTCATGGGGAACAGCCCCTTCTTCATGCCGTACAGCTGCTGGAAGTAGCCGCCGGGCAGCGGGGCACTGAACAGAGAGGCCGGGGCACCCGCCGGCACGGAGAAGGGCAGGAACTGGGTGCCCAGGAGGGCGGGCACCGTCGGCTTCAAACTCTTCAGGGTCTTTAGGGTGGGCGAGGTGGGGTTGGCCACGGTGCTGGGAAGTCTGGTGGCTCCGGCGACGGACGCTCCGGCGGCTCCCGGCTCTGGCTGGGTCTCCCCGGCGGGCTCCAGCGCTGAGCCGAGCTGGCTCTGAGGTAAGGGACGTCCTGGCGGCGTGGAACCCAGGAGTCCGGTGCTGGGGGCGGCGGAGGGGCCTGCTCAGAGGAGGGGGAGGGGAAGGGGAAAAGCATTGCGGGGAGGTCAGCATGGTGGGCTGAGAGTCCCTGCCCCTCCCTGCCCACCTGGTCCCACTCTATCCGTGCCCCCCCTCCCCGGCATAACCATGGGAACTCCACCCCAACCCAGAGAGGGAAGGAAGTTGGGAAGGGGGAGGGGAGCCGGGGTGTAGGAAGCTGGGAGTGGGAAGGGAAATACGGGAGGAGAGGGGAAGAAGGGTGGGAAGCAGGGGGCACCGCTAGAGGAGAGGGAGTGGGGCGCATGCAGAAGGGGGACAGGGCAGGGGGAAGGTGGGTGGGCCCGGGGCAGGAGAGGGAGGAGCAATGTAGAGGCATGGGGTCAGTAGGAGGACGCTGGAAGCAGGGGCAGGGAAGCCCCCTTTCCCCTCCCCCCACTGACACCACTCACCTCTCCATGCCCTTCCACTCACCTGTGGCGCTGGCTGCCGGGGAGGCTCCAGGGGGGACGGGCAGGAGCGGGGGCCCTGGCACCCCTTCGTGGCCCTCGCTGCGCAGCTGGGCCTGCACGGCCTCCTTGAGCCGGGCCAGGTGGCCACGGGAGAACAGGTGGCCACGGCAGGAGACGTAGAAGTCGTACTTGACCTGGCAGACGGGGCACTCAGCCCGAGGCTCAGGGGGGCCCTCAGAGGGAGCCCCAGGGCCCCCCTCACCCAAGGCCACCTTAGCCTTCTTCTCTTTGGCCCGTGCGTTCTGGAACCAGACCTGGATGACCCTCTTGGGCAGGCCGATCTCCTCGCCCAGCACCTCGCACTCCTGCATGGTGGGCGTTCGGTAGGCCTCGTAACACGCCTTCATGATCTTCAGCTGCAGGCTGGACATCTGGGTCCGGTAGCGGCGCTGGCCCAGCAGATCCAGCCCAGCCACCCCCTCCGACGCCCGCCCGTGCCCGCCCGGCGACTCTGGGTCGGCCAAGGAGGAGGAAGAGGAAGAGGAGGAAGAAGAGTCGCTCAGATCACCACCAGATGGGCTCCGGGCTTCGTTAAACTCTGATGGCTCTGGCTCGGCCTGGTTGATGCTGTAGGGGACTTTGGCTGTCCCACTATCAGAGACGCCATCAGAGATGTTGGCCATCATTGGAGGTCCCACCAACGGAGATGTTGGCCGTCCCCCCACCGGAGACATTGGAGGTCCCGCCAATGGAGATGTTGGCCATCCCCCCACCGGAGACATTGGAGGTCCCGCCAACGGAGATGTTGGCCGTCCCACCGATGGTGACGTTGGCCATCCCGCCACTGGAGATGTTGGAGATCCCAGCAATGGAGACGTTGGCCGTCCCGCCCCCAGGACTCAACTTGGCCAAGGAAGAGGATGGGGAGGTCTTGATGGGGGGGATCCCGGCGCTGGCAGCGCACCGGAACTGTCCCTTGCGTTCCCTGGCACGGGTGTTTTGGAACCACACCTGCACCACCCGTTTCTTGAGCCCCACCTCCTCTGAGATACAGTCCAGCATCTTGCGGGTGGGGTTCGAGTCCTGCACGTACCAGCGGTAGAGGACGTCCAGCTGCTCTGGGAGGATGGTGGTTCGGAGACGCTTGTCTCGCGGAGGTTCCCCTTCGCCACTGCTCCCGCCACCCGGCGACTGGCTCCCATCCTCATGCTTCCTCTTCATGGGCACCCCCTGGCTGCGGGGCAGCTCCGGCAGTGGGTCATGAGGGGCCAGGAGTGCTGAGCCATGGGCTCCTGGTGGATCTGAAGAGAATGCGGGGGCGTTGCTCTCCAGGGGCTCCATGGCTCCATCGTTCACTGGCTGATCTTCCTTGGGGTCTCCATCGCCCCTTGGTGCCTCTTCCTCCTCTTCCGCCTCCTCTTCCTCAGCTGGTGGCTCAGGCTCTTCCTCCGGTTCCTCTTCCTCTGGCTCTTCCTCTCCTTCTTCCTCCTCCTCCTCATTGCCTTCCACTGAGGGACGGTCATCATAGCATTTCTTGAGATGCCGCACCAGGTCAAAGATGCACCGGAAGGCGGCTTGGCATTTCTTACAGCTGGGTTGGCTGGTGACAATGCCCCCTCCAGCGCCCCCTGCCTCAGCACCATTCTTCCGGGCCTTCTGCCGGGCATTCTGGAACCACACCACGATGACCCGGTTGGCCAAGCCCAGGAGGATGGAGAGACGCTCCACCTCGCCGTCCTTGGGGTAGGCGCTGGCTTCAAAGAAGGACTGGAGAGCCTGCGACTGGAACTCGGTGAATTTGGTGCGGGAGAACCGCCGGCTTGACTGACCATCCCGGGATGGGTCCATCCCTGCTTCCTCTTCCTCACCCTGGACCCACCGCCCTTCAGCTTCGGCCAGCCCTGGGGGCACCACCACCGGCACCGGCTGCATCAGGAAGGGTGGGCAGAGAGGGGGGATGCCGGGGGGCGCTGGGGGGATCTCCGTGGGGGCAGGGCCCTCGGACGGCGGGTACATGCTGTCGTAGGTCTTCCGGAACTGGGCGGCGTAGCGGCTGAGGGCCTCGAAGGGCAGGAAGCGCCGGTGAACGTGCTCCTCGTGCGTCTTCAGGATGAGCATGTTGGAGAAGACCTTCCCACAGGTGCCACACCGCAGCTTCTCGGCCGGCGGGCGGGGCAGCGGGGCCACTGGAGGGGGGGCTGTGCCCCCCGGCCCCTGCTTTCCCTCATTGTACTGAATCACCAGCTCGAAGCCGAAGTTCTCCAGCAGAGCCTTGGCCGCCGGGTGGGAGGCCACGTTGGCTTCCTCTCCGCCAGCGTCCTCCTCCGTCTCCGTCTTGGCCGGGGCAGGCGGCGGGGGCGGCGGGGGCGGGGGCGGCTCTTTGGGCGGAGCCAGGATCAGCGGGGCGGACGGGGCCGGCAGGGCCAGGGCCGGCGCAGCCAGCGCGAGCTTGGGCGCCCCCTTGAGGTCGTGCAGGTAGAAGGGCAGGAGGAGCTGGTGCTGTTGCAGCTTGAGGAGAGATTCCGGCACGACCGGGAATGGCGGCAGCAGCGGGGGGGAGAAGAGCGGTGCCGGGAAGGGCAGCGCCCCTGGCACCTCCAGGATCTTGGGGGGCTCGGCTTCAGTGGGGGGCACCGGGGCTGCCTCCCCCGCCTCCCCCGCCTCCCCTGCCTCTCCTTTGCTGGCGGCCTCCGCCTTGGCCACCCGGGAGCGGGTCTGGTGGAGCACCGAGCGCATGTGGATCTCCAGGGTGGAGCTCTGGTTGTACGACACCCGGCACGTGGTGCATTTGTAGGGCTTGTCGGAGGAGGGCGGGGGGGCACCGGGAGCCCCCGAGTCACCCCTGGACGGGGCGCTGGGGTCGGCCGAAGCCTTCTTCATCTTGTGGAGGTGGGAGACGGAGTTGTAGTGGACCAGGAGGATGTTCTTCTGGGTGAAGGACTCTTTGCACACCGTGCACTTGTAGGGCCGCGACGGATCCAAGAACTTGTCCAGGGCAAAGTTGGTGGCTTTCCGGTAGGACAGGGGGTGCCGTGGGTCCTGGAGGGCCGGCAAGGTCTCGGGGGGGCGCTGCTGCTCCTCAGAGGGGGCGGGAAGCTGGACAGGAGCTTCCTCCTCCATGTCGTTGGCCTTCGGAGCCGGGGGGGAGGCCGGGCAGGGCTGGGGGGGCAGGTCGGCTGCTGGAGGAGGAGGCGAGGGGGCAGGGGCGAGTGGGGCTGAGGTGGTGGCGTCTCCAGCAGGGGGCGCTGCAGCGAGGGGGGAGGAGCGAGAGAAAGTTGTGGGGGGATCAATAAAGGCGGCGGTTCTGGGGAGGAGTCCCCCCATATACCCCCCACTCCAGTCTCCCCAGGGGTGAACCCTTCGTGAATCCCTTGCCATCCTCCAGCTCCCATCCCAGCCCCAGGGGGCGCTGTGCCGGTGGTCCCGGTCCTGCCCCATCTCCCAGACCGGCCCCAGGGGGCGCTGTGCCAGGGGTCCCAGCCACACCCCATCTCCCATGCCGGCCCCAGGGGGCGCTGTGCCAGGGGTCCCAGCCATTCCCCATCTCCCATCCCAGCCCCAGGGGGCGCTGTGCCAGGGGTCCCAGCCACACCCCATCTCCCATGCCGGCCCCAGGGGGCGCTGTGCCAGGGGTCCCACCCATTCCCCATCTCCCATCCCAGCCCCAGGGGGCGCTGTGCCAGGGGTCCCAGCCACACCCCATCTCCCAGCCTGGCCCCAGGGGGCGCTCACCTGTGGGTGCGAATTCACACTCCCCCCTGCACTCAGGGTTGGGGGCTGCTCCTGTCTCAGGAGGTTCGGGGGCAGGGCTGGGTAGGACTTTGGTGGCAAAGTTCATCTCCACTGTGGTGGCCTGGGCAGAGAACGAAACAGGAGAATTAAATGAGTTATACCAGGCCCAGACCCCGTCTCCCAGCCTGGCACTTGGGGGCACGCTGCTGGGGGGTCCCAGCCTGGCACTAGGGGGCACTGTCTTGGGGGGTCGGCACGGTGCCGGCGGGTTCCCAGCCTGGCACTGGGGGGCGCTGTGTGTTGGGGGGGTCCCAGCCTGGCACTGGGGGCGCTGTGCCGGGGGTCCCAACCTGGCACTGGGGGAGCGGTGCTGGGGGGTCCCAACCTGGCACTGGGGGGTGCTGTGTGTCGGGGGGGTCCGAGCCTGGCACTGGGGGGTGCTGTGTTGGGGGGTCCCAGCCTGGCACAGGGGGCGCTGTGTTTCGGGGGTCCCAGCCTGGCACTGGGGGGCGCTGTGTTTTGGGGGGCCCCAGCCTGGCACTGGGGGGCGCTGTGTCAGGGGGGCCCCAGCCTGGCACAGGGGGCGCTGTGTTTCGGGGGGTCCCAGCCTGGCACTGGGGGGCACTGTGTTTTGGGGGGTCCCAGGCTGGCACGGGGGGGTGCTCACCACAAGGAGCAGTTTCTCCACACATTCGGGCACCACGTTGTGGACGTGACTGAGATGGACCCGCAGGCTGCCCCTGCCCACCAGCTGCTCCTCCTGGCACAGTGGGCACCGGTAGGTCGGCTGCAGGGCATGCTGGGAGACGGCATGGCTGCGCACCCCCGCCAGCGCCCGGCTCACGTAGCTGCAGTATGGGCAGCAGAACACCTGGGGGGGGCAGGGGGGCCGAGAGAGGGGTTGTCAGATCATATGGGGGGGCCAAAGCATTTGGGACAGGTGAAAAGGACCCAGGCCTCCGGGATGGGGGAAAGGGACCCCGGCATCGAAGACCAGAGAGGGGATCCAGGAATCTGGGACAGCTGTCCTGCAGCTCCCAGTCCCAGGAGGTGGGGCAGGGAGAGACAGGGCTGGATAAAAAGGGACCCAGGAGTCCGGGACGGGGGAAAGGAACCCAGACATCTGGGACAGCAGCCCTGCAGCTGTCAGCCCTTGGGGCATGGTGGAGGGACCAGGACTGGACCCAGGTGTCCGGGATGGGGAGTCGCCCTCTCCCAGTTGGGGTGCTCACCACGGTCTGGGTTTCCCCCGATGCGCGGCTCTTCGTCTCTGTCTCGTCCAGTCCTGCAGTGTGTGTGTGGGGGTGTGTTAGTGACTGGCTCTGCTTCCCCCCCCACCCAACCTGCACCCCCTTGAGCCCCCCCGGCTATGGGAGTGGGAGCAGTCGGGTGGGGCTGGGGGCATGATGAATGGGTGGCATGAGCCCCCCTTTGGAGAGGCTCGCCCCGCGGCCCACCCCTTCTGCCTTCGACCCTGCCCCTCTCCCCCTCCGCGGGAGCCCCTCCCCGTCTGCCCCCCGCCGAACTGCCCTGGGCCGCCAGCCATGCCCAGCACCAGCCCGCTGGCCTCCCCCTTGGGGAGTGGGCGGAGCATGCGCGGGGTCAGGGCCACCAGGCCGCCCGGCTGCAGGAGGGTCAAGCAGGGAGGGCAAAGCTGGAATCTCCCAGTGGGTTGCAGGAACCCAGGTGTCCTGCGAGGGGGGGGAGAGGGCAGAACCCAGGCGTCCTGCGGCGGAGGGGCCACTCACCTGGGGGCGGGGCTTTGTTCAGAGTCTCTTTCTCGGGGGTCGTGGGCTCGGATGCCGACTCCTTCCCTGGTGGGGGGGCAGACGGGATGGGTTATGGGAGTGGGAGCAGTCGGGTGGGGCCGGGGGTGGGGAAATGCTCCCCCGCCCCTGCTTCGTTCCCCCCATCCCTGCGTCAGTTTTGTTCGACTGGCCCCAGAACCAGACCGTGCCCCTCACTCCCGACCCGCAGCCCCCTGCCAGCCCAGCCCCCACCCCGGGCCCTGCCGGTGCCCCTCACTCCCGACCCGCAGCCCCCTGCCAGCCCAGCCCCCCCACCAGCTCTGCCAATGCCCCTCACTCCCGACCCGCAGCCCCCTGCCAGCCCAGCCCCCCCACCAGTTCTGCCGGTGCCCCTCACTCCCGACCCGCAGCTCCCTGCCAGCCCAGCCCCCACCCCGGGCCCTGCCGGTGCCCCTCACTCCCGACCCGCAGCCCCTGCCGGCCCTGCCCCCCCACCCTGCCAGTGCCCCTCACTCCCGACCCGCAGCCCCTGCCGGCCCTGCCCGCCCCCCCCCGGGCCCTGCTGGTGCCCCTCACTCCCGACCCGCAGCCCCCTGCCAGCCCAGCCCCCACCCCAGGCCCTGCGGTGCCCCTCACTCCCGACCCGCAGCCCCCTGCCAGCCCAGTGCCCCACCCCGCCACCCTGCTGGTGCCCCTCACTCCCGACCCACAGCCCCTGCCGGCCCTACCCTGCCCCCCACCCAGCTCTGCCAGTGCCCCTCACTCCTGACCCGCAGCCCCCTGCTAGCCCAGCTCTGCCCCCCTGCTCTGCCAGTGCCCCTCACTCCCGACCCACAGCTCCACAGGTTCAGGGGGTGGGGAAGGGGGGGCAGATTCCAGGCCTGGGGTCCCCCGTGCGGCTGTCAGTCGCACAGAGATAATTTCTCTCTTTCTCTGGCTCATTTTCCCCGTTCCTTCATTCGCCCCGCTGGTTGCTAGGCAACGAGTCCCGGTGTCTGTCAGAATCCATGGGGGGGGGGGGCGAGTTTCCCTGCAGCCGCTTCGCGCTTGAATGTGTCCCAGGGCGGCATGAGCCTGAAACACCCTGGGGGGTGGGGAGCAGCGGCTGTGACGGCGCCCCTCACTCCCGATCCGCAGCCCCATGGTCTGCCTGCCCTGGGCTCCCCCCCTTTCCCAGCTCTGCCGGTGCCCCCCCCCCGACCCATAGCCCCTGGGTACCGGTGCTCCGGGGCACGGGCTCGGCCAGGCGGATGCATCTCTCCAGGGCCTTGGTGCCCTCGTCTGTGGGTCGCCCGCCCTGCAGCAGGTGGAGGCGGTGCTGGCCCTGGGCATCGCGGTGCCGGGGGGCCCGCAGGTGGGACAGAATGGCGAGGCAGGAAGGAGCGGTGGTGTTGCAGAGCAGGCAGTGGAAGTGCGGGGGGTCGGGACCCGGTGCCGACGCCTCCAACTCCAGTAGGAACTGGGGTGGGGAGAGAGAGATCAGAGGTGTTGGTGGGGGAGCCCCCCAACCCTGCCCCCAACACTCCCCTCCTGGCTTCCCACCCCCCCAGAACCAATGCGTCCCCCCCTCTGTTGGTTGCCTCACCCCCATGCCCGGTTGCCATGCCCTCCCCTTTCATTCCCCGCCTCCAGTGCATGGCAGACCTGCCCTCTCATAGCCCGGGCACACTCCTCATGCCCCACCCCTTCTGCTGTAGCCCCACCCTCCCCTGCTAGCCCAGCCCCTCCTCACCTTGTATCTTGGCTTGCCCTCCTCTGGTCCCCTCCCATCCCCTCTCCCCCAACTCCACCCTCTCCCACAGCCCTGCCTCATCCTTACCTGGAAGCCCCACCCTTCCCCAGAGCCCTGCCCCCTCACCTTGTAGCTTCGCTCGCCCTCCTCGTGCCCCGCCCCCCGCACGTGCAGCCGCATCTTCTCCTTGCTGTTGGTCTCGTAGTCGCAGAGGTTGCAGCGCAGGTGGAGGGGGGCCGGGGCAGGGGCAGGGCCAGGCTGCAGCTCGGCCCCTCCGGGGGCGGCGGTGGGCAAGGCCCCGCCCCCCTCGCGCAGGTGGGCAGCCAGCTGGTACTTGTGGGCGTGCTTGTCAGTCTTGAGGTGCAGCTGGAAGTTGGCCTTGAGCTGGGTGCCGTAGGCGCAGAGCCGACAGCGGTGGAGATCCCCCGCCACCTCCTTCCACTCGGCCTCGGGCAGCCGGCGCGGAGCGGTGGAGTGCCGCAGCAGCTCCTCCACACTGTCCGTGCCGAACCGCTGGCACACCAGGCAGCCGAAGAGCCGCTCCGATGCCACTGGCACAGCCAGTGGGGGGGAGGCAGGGGCCGGCGGGGGCAGAGGACATGGGGAGGGGGAAAGTGACACCGGAGCCGCTGGGGCTGGGGCAGGGAGAGAAAGAGAGAAGGGGAAAGAGAAAGAGGAAAAGGAAGAAAGAATGAGAGAAAAGGGAAGAATGAATAGGAAAGAAAGGAATAAAGAATGAACAGGAAATTGAAAGAAAATGAACAAGAGAGAACGAATAAAAGAGAGAAAGAAAGAATGAATGAACGAACAAATGAGGGAGAGAGAAGACAAAAAGAATGAACGAATGAAACAGGAAGAAATGAGGAATGAATAAATGAGCAAGAAAGGCAGCCAGAACGGGGAAACAATTGAAAGAATGAATGAGAGGAAAGAGAGAAAGAATGAATGTGTGTGAGCAAGAAAGGAGGAACAAGAAAAAAGAGGAATGAAAGAACAAATTAATGTATAAGAAAGAATGCGTAAAGAAGAAACAATGAAAGTAAAGAAGGAAAGGATGGATGGATGGATGAGAGAGAGAAAAGGAAAGAACAAAAGAAAAAAGGAATGAATAAAAAATGGAAGTGGAAGGAAGGAAGGAATGAGAGAAAGAATGATTGCGAGTCAGAAAGAAGGAAGGAAGAAACGAATGAAAAGAAAGATAGGGCGAAATGTAGAGAGAAGATGGACAGAAGAGAATGGATGAAATCTGTTAATATTGACCTGAAAAGATATTTTCCCTACTGCCCCCACAAACTCTCTTGGGGGATCCCAGCCTTTCCAGCCCCCTCCAGATTCTCAGTGTCCTGCCCCCTGGAAGGAGGAAGAGGAATGATGGGATGGAGCAGGAGAGAAGGGTGGCAGTAGGGTTGGGAAGGCGGCGAGAAGCTCACTGGTGGGGTGGACATGGGGATACATGGTGAGGAAGGAGCGACATGGGAGGACGTGAACAGGGATCCCCCTATTGATGGCCATCCCAAAGTTGGACCCCATTGTTGGCCAACCCAACATTGACCCCACTGTTGGCCAACCCACCCAAAATTAACTACTGAGGGGAATGGGGGGCACAGTGTGGGCAGAAGGTCACTGGTGGTGATGGTGTTGACAGGGGGAGATGTGAAGGCATGGTGTGAGTGTCACAGTGAGGCAAAGGGCCACAGCCCCTTACCTGGTGCTGAAACCGCCCCCTTCCTCCCAGCGGGACCCAGTGGGTGGAAGCCATTGAGCAGCAGCTGGGCTGGTTCCATGGGCTTCTCCACCCGCAGTCCCTGGACGGCGCTGGTGGCTCCTGCATGGTGGTGGCCATGGTGGTGACCCAGAGCCTGCACCCCATAGAACTGGAAGAGCTCAGTCTGCGGCTGCTGTTTCCCCCCACTGCTGCCCCCCGGCTGTCCCAGGAGTCCAGGCAAGGCCAATGGCAGCCCTTGGTGGAGGAGAAGCACATTCTGCATGTGCTTTTCCGATGTCATGTGGATGCGTAGGTTGCGGGAGATGCCGGTCTCATAGCTGCAGACTTTGCACTGCCAGGACGTCTTGCTCTTGGTCTCTTTCTCCTCAGGGGCCACAGGGGTCGGGGCTGTGGGGGTGGCTGGTGGCACCGGATGGGCCCCGCTGCTCGTGTTGGCTTGGAAACCCTGAAGGTTGGCTAGATGCTTGTCCGACTGCATGTGGATGCTGAGGTTCCCCTTGGTGGTGGTGGAGTAGTTGCAGGCCTCACAGCGGTATGGCTTATAGCCACAGTTGTAACTCTCGCCGCGGGCGAGGCGTGGGTGGGGGCCTCCGGCACTGCAGAAGGCGCAGTGGCTGTTGCTTTCAGGATGCTTCTCCTTCATGTGGACATCCAAGGTCTGCTGGTACTTGTAGTGCCAGTTGCATTTGGGGCACTTGAGGGTTTTGCAGGAGTTGCGGGAATGCAGCAGGGACATGTGGCCAGAGAGACTGAGCCCAGGATAGGCCATGGCCGTGTAATCGTCCCCAAAGCCAATAGGGACCCCTCCAGTGTTGGGGTTGACCCCGCTGTTGGCCAACCCAACATTGGCCTCATTGTTGAGCTCGGTGTTGGCCAACCCAACGCTGACCTCGGTGTTGGCCTTCTGTGGTGGTGGGTCATCTGGGACGTTGGTGCCTCTTGGTGGGCTTTGGCCGTGTGAGCTTTGGTCTGGCGGAAGCCTCAGCCCATCCTCTTCTTCCTTCCTGCCTTCAGCCTTCTCCTCCTCTTGCTCCTCCTCCTGTCCCCCGTTGGCCCAGTCCACGCTGCCGGCCCTTGAATCTTTGGCATCGGGTGGCTTGCGTCCTTCTTGGGGGCTTCTCTCCTCCTCCTCCTCCTTCATTACATTCACCCATCCACTACACATTCCGGCGCTGAGGTCCACCCTGCTGGTGGGGTTATTTGGTTCTAGGAAGCTGAGGGCAGTGCCCTGGAGAATGGCGGGAACCCCTCGGGACAGGGCCCGGCGCTCCCCGGGGCTGAGCCGCACCCCATGGGCCGAGAGGGCATGGGATGCCAAGGAGCAGCCCTGTCGGAAGGAGAGACGGCAGGCCAAGCACAGCCAGGGTGGCCATGATGGTTCTTCCTCTTGGCCAACTTTGGCTTCCCCCTCCCCGTCGGTGACGGCATCTTTGGGTTCGGTGGGAGAGTTTTTGGCAGAGGTGGTGGGAGCAGAGGCCCTGGCTAGTCGGTAGCTGCGGAAGGCGCCGGATGGGGGCTGCTCGCCCGGCGCTGAGGTATTCTGGGACATTTGGTCAGTAGACATAAAGCCTTGGTTGGGGCCGCCATCTTGGACGTGGAGGGTGGACACCGGCAGGGTTGCCGTGGCGCCAGGGTAGCCCTTTGGTAAGAGAACATGGCTGCCGCTGAGGAGATAGGCTGAGCCATCAGGGAAGAAGAGCAGATGGGCTGTGCTGCCATCATCTTCCACATCCTCTTCATCATCATCATTGCCTCCTTCTTCCTCCTCCTCCTGGCCATCTTCCCTGGGGGCCGAGGGTTGGAGGAGGGATGGGCTTGGTGCTACTAGGCTGAAGCCTGCCTGGAGTTGTGGGGTGGACAAGATGGCCGCTGGGAGACTGGCGGGGCCTGGTTCCAGCCGCGGGATGGGGCTGGGCCTCATGGTCTCAGCGGGGGAAGGGGAGGCGGAGGGGGGGTCCGGCAGGGAGGGTTCTTTGGTGGCTGGAGGGGCGGAGGGGTCCTGAGGTGGCCAGCCCGCAGCCCTGGCATCCTGCCCGTCGGCCGGGGGGGCGGAGGAGGAGGAGGAGGAGGAGGAGGAAGAAGAGGAGGCAAAGTTAGAGGGAGCGTCCATGGCGGTGGAGGCAGGAGGAGCGTGGAGGGGTCATCTCAGCGCAGGAGCCGAGACCCTACGGGGGGCAGGGGGGAGAACAGAGTGAAAGAAGGAGGGTGAGAAAAAAGGAGTGCACGGGAGCCCCCGCACGCCCCCCCGCGCCCCCCCGCCCCCTCCACGCAGCCAGGACCCATTGAGATTGGGCGAGCAGAGCCCCCTACGGGGCAGGGCCTAGTACTGCATCCCCCCACACCAGCGACCAGGGCCCCACTCCTCCCATCCCCTGTGGCCCCTGGGCGGGGACTGGCCGGCTCAGGGGGGCTGGGAGTGGGGCGCAGGGCCTGTCCCCTCCATGGGGCGCTGGCTGTAGGATCGGGGTGCTGGTTGGGGAGGAACTGGTGGGGGAGGGGGAGGTTGTTTAACTTGCAAATAAGAGGAGTTTATTTAACTGGCAAATCCAGGCTGGAGGAGGAATTTCCATTGCAAATGCAGCTGGACACAGGCTGGGAGTGGGGGGGGAGGGGGGAGGACACAGGGGAGGGGCTGAGAACCACAGGGGGCACTTGGGGAGCTTGGGCTGAGAGACAGAATCGCCAGGGCATGGGACCCCTGAGACCAGCCTGCTCGGGGGAACCAGGCCTAAGAGCGGCAAAATGCACCTCCACCTCCCGGATAGCTAGATAAAGGGGGTGCAGGTGGGTGGATGGATCAGGGGGTGCAGGGGGTGGATGGCGACAGGTGGATGGATGGATGGATGAATGGATGGGGAGTGGGTGCAGGGGGTGGGTGGGTGCAGGAGATGAATGGATGGGGGGTGGAGGGTGCAGGGGGTGGGTGGGGATGGAAGGGTGGATGGGGGTGGTGGGTGCAGGGGGTGGATGGATGGATGGGGGTGGGTGCAGGGGGTGGATGGATGCAGGTGGGGGGAGGCCATAGTCTGATATTCATTCCTACTCGTCCCTTGCCGTAGACCCCTCCATTTGCCGTCATTCGGCCCCCCTTTCCCCATCCATCCCCCCCATCTCTCTCCCCCTTTTCACCCCCCCCCCCGTTCCCATCTCACTCTGTCTCCCATGTCTCCGCTGGGGCGAGGGGAGGGGGAGTTCCAGGCGGGGGGGGGCGGACTCCCCCCTCCGAGGGGAGTCTTGTGGATGCAAATCACCTCATTAAGGAACCAGCGGCGGGCAGGGTAATTAGCCTGGGCCTTGTATTTCTTATCAGCGACACAAAGGCAGCGGGATGGGGGAGGGGAGAGAGATGGAGGGAAGAAAACAGGGGCTGGAGGGAGGGAAAGGGAAGGATGGAGGGAGCGAGGCAGCGGGAGACAGGGAAAGAAAACGAGAGAGAGCTCGGGAGAGCGAAAGGCTGGAAAAGAGGGTTGGAGGCAGAGGCCAGAGGGACTGACGCAAGGAATGAGACAGAAGGAGGGATGGAGGGAGGGAACGAAACAGACAGAGGAGAAGGGGAGACGACGATGCAACAGACAGGAAAGAAGAGAACGGAGGAAATGGAGGAGGAAGGAGGGAAGAAGACAGAGGAGGAGGATGGAGGGAACGAAGCAGGGAGAGGAGGAGGAAGGAGGGAACGAAGCAGGGAAGGAGGATGGAGGGAACGAAGCAGGGAGAGGAGGAGGAAGGAGGGAAGGAGACAGAGGAGGAGGAAGGAGGGAACGAAGCAGGGAGAGGAGGAGGAAGGAGGGAACGAAGCAGGGAAGGAGGAGGAAGGAGAGAAGGAGACAGAGGAGAAGGATGGAGGGAACGAAGCAGGGAGAGGAGGAGGAAGGAGGGAAGGAGACAGAGGAGGAGGAAGGAGGGAACGAAGCAGGGAGAGGAGGAGGAAGGGGGGAAGGAGACAGGAGGAGAAAGGAGGGAAGGAAGCAGGGAGAGGAGAAGGAAGGAGGGAACGGAGGAGGAAGGAGGGAACGAAGCAGGGAAGGAGGAGGAAGGAGGGAAGGAGACAGAGGAGGAGGATGGAGGGAATGAAGCAGGGAGAGGAGGAGGAAGGAGGGAAGGAGACAGCGGAGGGGACAGAGCAAGGCAGTGATGGGGGGGTGACCCAGGGGTCCATGCCGCAGGCGGTGGGGGAGGGGTGGGGTCGGCGCAGGCCGATTTGGGGAGATTCATGTTGGGGGGGCGACGGGGCCGCAGCAACTGTCAATAAAACGAGCGAGATGTCGAGAAACCAGCCTGTGGGGGAGGGGAGATGCTCTGCCCCCCCCCGAGCCCCGCTAGTGCCCCTCACTCCCGACCCGCAGCCCCCTGCCAACCCAGCCCTGTCCCCCCCCAAGCCCCGCTGGTGCCCCTCACTCCGGACCCCGCAGCCCTGATAGCCCAGCCCTGCCCCCCTGCTCCCTTCACTCTCACCTGGGGGGCAGGGCTGGCTTGTGGCACTAATTGGTGGGAGACGAGAAAGGCTCGTTACCAGCTCGGGGAGCCGCAGCCAAAGGCCTGCTGGAGCAGCGGGTGCATCCCGGAGAGGGGAGCTCCCGGCGCCTCCAGCCCCGTTCCAGCAGGGGGCGCTGGGGGGGCAGTTCCCATGCGGGGGGGGCAGGAGGGCAGGGCCTGGCTGGGGGTTGGGGGGGAGGGATGCCTGCGGTGGTTGGCCTTTCTCCCAGGCCTGACATCCCACAATGCACAAGGGCACTCGTTTGCATCGAATTTGCATACAATCCTGAGCCCTGGGTGTCCAAGAGGCTGCTCTGATCTTGTTCTGTGTGCTGACGGGGTGGGGGAGGTGTGGACTGGAGGCTCCACCCGCTCATCTGCATATGCAAATATGAAAACGCCATCAGAGGGCCCAGGGCGGAGAGACTGGGAAAGCCACAACATCCTCTGGCTCTCTTGTGTGTGCACCGATTGGGTGTGTCGGCAGTGTGTGTGTGTGTGTGTGTGTGTGTGTGTGTCGGCAGTGTGTGTGTGTGTGTGAGCATGTGTGTACCGATTGGGTGTGTCGGCAGTGTGTGTGTGTGTGTGTGTGTGTGTGAGCATGTGTGTACCGATTGGGTGTGTCGGCAGTGTGTGTGTGTGTGTGTCGGCAGTGTGTGTGTGTGTGTGTGAGCATGTGTGTACCGATTGGGTGTGTCGGCAGTGTGTGTGTGTGTGTGTGTGTGCACCGATTGGGTGTGTCGGCAGTGTGTGTGTGTGTGTGTGTGTGTGTGCACCGATTGGGTGTGTCGGCAGTGTGTGTGTGTGTGCACCGATTGGGTGTGTCGGCAGTGTGTGTGTGTGAGCATGTGTGTACCGATTGGGTGTGTCGGCAGTGTGTGTGTGTGTGTGTGTGTACCGATTGGGTGTGTCGGCAGTGTGTGTGTGTGTGTGTGTGTGTGTGTGTGTGTGTCGGCAGTGTGTGTGTGTGTGTGAGCATGTGTGTACCGATTGGGTGTGTCGGCAGTGTGTGTGTGTGTGTGTGTGTGTGCACCGATTGGGTGTGTCGGCATGTGTGTGTGTGTGTGTGTGTGTGTGTGTGTGTGTGGGCAGTGTGTGTGTGTGTGTGTGAGCATGTGTGTACCGATTGGGTGTGTCGGCAGTGTGTGTGTGTGTGTGTGTGTGTGTGAGCATGTGTGTACCGATTGGGTGTGTCGGCAGTGTGTGTGTGTGTGTGTCGGCAGTGTGTGTGTGTGTGTGTGAGCATGTGTGTACCGTTTGGGTGTGTCGGCAGTGTGTGTGTGTGTGTGTGTGTGTGTGTGCACCGATTGGGTGTGTCGGCAGTGTGTGTGTGTGTGTGTGTGTGTGTGTGTGCACCGATTGGGTGTGTCGGCAGTGTGTGTGTGTGTGTACCGATTGGGTGTGTCGGCAGTGTGTGTGTGTGAGCATGTGTGTACCGATTGGGTGTGTCGGCAGTGTGTGTGTGTGTGTGTGTGTACCGATTGGGTGTGTCGGCAGTGTGTGTGTGTGTGTGTGTGTGTACCGATTGGGTGTGTCGGCATGTGTGTGTGTGTGTGTGTGTGTGTCGGCAGTGTGTGTGTGTGTGTGAGCATGTGTGTACCGATTGGGTGTGTCGGCAGTGTGTGTGTGTGTGTGTGTGTGCACCGATTGGGTGTGTCGGCAGTGTGTGTGTGTGTGTGTGTGTGTGTGTGCACCGATTGGGTGTGTCGGCAGTGTGTGTGTGTACCGATTGGGTGTGTTGGCGGTGTGTGTGTGTGAGCATGTGTGTACCGATTGGGTGTGTCGGCAGTGTGTGTGTGTCTGTGTGTGTCTGTGTGTGTACCGATTGGGTGTGTTGGCAGTGTGTGTGTGTGTGAGCGTGTGTGTGCACCGATTGGGTGTGTCGGCAGTGTGTGTGTGTGTGTGTGTGAGCGTGTGTGCACCGATTGGGTGTGTCGGCAGTGTGTGTGTGTGCGTGTGTGTGTGTGTGTACCGATTGGGTGTGTCAGCAGTGTGTGTGTGTGTGTGTGTGTGTGTGCCGATTGGGTGTGTCAGCAGTGTGTGTGTGTGTGTGCGTGTGTGTACCGATTGGGTGTGTCAACAGTGTGTGTGTGTGTGTGTGTGTGTGTGCACCGATTGGGTGTGTCGGCAGTGTGTGTGCACCGATTGGGTGTGTCGGCAGTGTGTGTGTGTGTGTGTGTGAGCGTGTGTGCACCGATTGGGTGTGTCGGCAGTGTGTGTGTGCGTGTGTGTGTGTACCGATTGGGTGTGTCAGCAGTGTGTGTGTGTGTGTGTACCGATTGGGTGTGTCAGCAGTGTGTGTGTGTGTGTGTGCCGATTGGGTGTGTCAGCAGTGTGTGTGTGTGTGCGCGCGTGTGTGTACCGATTGGGTGTGTCAACAGTGTGTGTGTGTGTGTGTGCCGATTGGGTGTGTCGGCAGTGTGTGTGCACCGATTGGGTGTGTCGGCAGTGTGTGTGTGTGCGTGTGCGTGTGTGTGTACCGATTGGGTGTGTCAGCAGTGTGTGTGTGTGTGTGTGTGTGCCAATTGGGTGTGTCGGCAGTGTGTGTGTGCCGATTGGGTGTGTCAGCAGTGTGTGTGTGTGTGTGAGCGTGTGTGTATCAATTGGGTGTGTCGGCAGTGTGTGTGTGTGTGTACTGATTGGGTGTGTCAGCAGTGTGTGTGTGTGTGTGTGTGCCGATTGGGTGTGTCGG